TGTTAATTTAGTATTTCTGAAATGAAATGAAATGGGGTTTAACGTCCTACTGTTCTGCTCTGAACTAGGCTAATGAAGACGGGCATATGCCATACAGTGTGCTATGAGGGAAATTTTGGCCGGACAGCGGCGCTACGGCCTACTCTTATATCGACTTCCAACTGCCAAGGGTTCTTTTACGTGAACGGTACCTCGGGTTTTTGTACCACCCGAACGACTAGACAGCTGTCCTTGTCAGGCCCTCCGTCCTGCAATTTATTATTTCTAGTTACTATATGTAACGGTTGTATCATAGTTTTATGTGACGTTCATCAGGCATGAAAGGGTATTTCGAATGTTCAGCTCCAAAACATAAGAACAATACCTTGATAGTTTCAAAATGTTAAACAAATGGAACTACAACAATTTTAATATACGTACTGTTCGAATGAGTTATATCAATGCCATGTTGAATGGTAAATATGCCGCCCTGTCCAAATTATTTTGTTTTATAAACTTTAATCTCTTTTTTGAAAAACATATATACATATATTATGTCTCTGGGTGCAAGACCCATATTGCAATGCTGCCATTTAAATGACGAGAAAGGTGGCAGATAGGTTGTATTGTGTGGATATGATATATGAGTTTCTATTGTTAACATTGTTGTCAAACATGTCAGAAATTGTATAAGACCTTTTTCTTGAAATCCATTCTATAACATCATATTTTATTAATACACACAGACATAGATGACGTTGTTCACAAAAACAAAATTACAGAGCACAAATGATATTAAAATATAGGAGGCCGCGGTTTCGTATCGGCAAGATGTATATCTGACGACGGTTTATTTATGTGAAACTATGGATATTAAAGTCAGACGAGTATTTTTCTGTATAATTCTGTCTGTTGTCTTTGAACTTGGACAGGTAATGTATTTATTTAACATAAATGTCACAACACATCGAAATAGATTCATTTTAACTATTTGTCTTGTTAGATATGTATTATTTAGAATGGAGATAAACAACTGGCTGTTCTAAGATAAGATAATGGAAAGTGAATATATTGAAAATTTCCGTCAGATTACTTTATTCTGTGAATGTTTAAAGGGGAAGACCAACGATTTTCAATAAGGTTTCCATAAATAATAAATATATATTTAGAAATATATATATATTTAAGCCACGAACAGGTTGCCAGCTGGATCGGTCGAATAGGTCGCTAGCCGAATAGGTCGCCAATTTGTGTTCGGTTAATATCTGTCACGTGCCAGCTATCACGTGATGTAAACAATTAGCCATGTGGCTTAAATTGTGTCAAAGTGTCCAGTTAAGAAACTTAATTTACACAAAAGCGTTGTATATTATACCTTCAAAACACCGTAAGTTCTTGTTCTTAATAACCTAATAAAGATTACCTTTCATCAGATTTTCTGCCAAACGGCGAAACGATCACAAAATACAGCGCTAAACTTACTCCAAATTTGTATGTTTATTATAGTGACCAGTGAGCGTGTCGAACCAACTACGTCACTTCCGGTATTAATAAAAATTAATTTCTCGCTTACAAATTATTTTTTGCATATGTTATAGGAGGGATTATTTCTAAATATATATTTATTATTTATGGAAACCTTATTGAAAATCGTTGGTCTTCCCCTTTAAGTTTTTGCTTAACGGCGACTCTCGCCTCGGAAGTTTATAGTTAGTTACATGCGCAATGGCTACATTTTACTTCTTGTATATAAAATGGAGGAGCTTTTGGATGAGTTAGGACTTGTAGGCTAGCCTACTTTCTGCCACAGATGGAGCAAAATGTGGCAAACTCTTGCACAAAAGCATGTATGAGGTTTACCATGAAAAACTTGAAATACACAAGCTGGAAGTAGGGACAAGTAAACATGCAATTTTCGGCCCTACATTTCAACCTAACCGACCTCTCAAAATCATGAATATTCACCAAAACCTGGCAGAAAATGTATTTTCAAACCCATTTCTTCGATTCTACACCAAAAATCGCCATGCAAAAGGGGGGAAAGGGAGAGAAAGACTAAAAATAACTTTCGCCCTACATTACGGCGTAGAAATATTTGCTGATCTGTGTGCGTAAAATGTAGCCATTGCGCATGTAACTAACTATAAACTAGTACGCCTTTTTCGTCGTGCTGGCTTAACGGCGACTCTCGCGTTGTATCTAGAAACCCGCCGATCTAAATGGACGCTTTCAGCCACCATACAAGGGGGATCTAATCCTTTAATATTTACACTGTAAACTTGGCTATCCAAAAAAGTAACTTTTTATAAATGACAATATACGACACTAAAGTCGTCATTCTATATACATAATGTTTATTAGTTAAAATTGTTAATAATCAGACAGAAGTCATTAAGTAGGTGTTATGTCACTAAGGTCTTAAAACCTTGACTATTGAATGATATACACCATTATATAGCCATTCGATAATTCAAGATCGTGGTCATTTTCATGATGGTCGACCTTCAGGGAACGAAATATATTTTTTTGCAATAAAGTCACGATCAATTGCCCTATTTAATTAATCTGAACATGTATTTAACTTTAAGGGCACTAGAGGGCCATAACTCCATAACGGAAGTTCTGGTGCGCACAAAAAATTGGACTCCCCTAAGATCGTTTGATCCTTAACATATATGTTTAGTCGAAGTCGGACCAATAATTAAGGTGAGCTCTACAGGGTCCACAGACTGTGTACATAAATCCAAAGTAATTAGGCATAGACATAGCCTATGTTTTCAGATTCATCAAATTTGGACTTTCTGGCGTCCGGGCGGACGGACGGGTATGGGCGACAAAATAAAAAGTTACGTATATTTTTAACACCGTATCTATACAATAGATGTTCGAAGTCCTTGTATTGTTTCGTTTGGACGCCAATATATTATATGTATTGGGTTATATATAAATATTTAATAACATTTTTTGTCGTCAAGTAAGAGTAACCTGGCTACACTAGAGGATCATTTTATACAATATTCAAGTAATATACCTAATTCGTGGAGGGTTTGTAAACTGTTTTGTCCATGTCTGTCATGCATTCTTTTTATTCTAAATTTTTTATGACGCTGGTTAATCTTCTTTAAATTTGTTACACATTAATATATCGGTTGAAAAAGAATGTGTTAACTAATCGTTTATGGTCAAGAAAATGCCGTTCAGTCCGACAAGAAGGCTTGTGTTAAAGTTTCAAAGAAAATGGCAGGCTGGGACTTGCGACAACCGAGGGAGTAGGTGAGAATCCTAAAGTCGTGTGGGTTTTATTTAGCAGAGGTTAGAAAAAATATGTTGTCATTAACTTTACAACTATTTTTTATTGTAGCCAAGTACTATTGATATAACCAATTTACCAACCACAACATCAGTTAAAGAAAAACAAAACACCGATCTGTGTTTACTTCCCTTGGTTATATCTGAGTCAAGTGGAGAAGGATATGATTGTACTCTAGAACCAATTCATACACAGTTTGTGGTTACAAAAAGATCGGGAGATGCTGGTAAGAGTCTTTCGTTTAGAATTTACACTGTCTGTTAAACACGTTAACGTCAGTATATCACATCTTTCGTATTTTAACCCACTTCGTGCTGTGGCAGTGGCGTCAATCCGGCAGAAAATCAGAACTATAAATATATAATTTCAACCAAGCTGAAACGTGTATAGGGAAACATGCCTATATATATATGTAGTAGAATAGTTAATTAAAGCTGCTCTTTGGTAATATATAACTGAAATTAAAGATGGCAAAATAACACGACCTCTTGGAGGCAAAAGAAAACTATTTTATTGAGAAGTACCACCCGAAACTTAATTCTAAATAAGAGAATAATTAAATTAAATAAAATAAAGACCGTGGTGGGATTCAATATTTGTAGTCTGTAGGCTAAGAAATTACTACCCTTGCCTGTATAATAATGTAACTATGACATTGTGACGTCATAGACTATTGTTAATTGAATTATTGTTTAATAAATGCCTGAAGAGCCGCTATCGCGGTGAAAACGTTAGCATAAAATTGTAGTTTTATTTTGCCATCTTTAATTTCAATTATATATATATATATATATATATATATATATATATATCGTTGGTATAGAGCGGGATTAAACTAATGGTCAAGTACATACCCTTGTGGCAGCTAAATCAGATGTTTACTACCTGAGATTATCTAGACTATGTACAGCCCTTTCACATAATATTGTCGTTCTCTCGACAGACCATGTCAATAAGTGACATACTTAAGATATCAATCCACGTTGAAAATTCCGTCGAAGATCTGATTTCTGCTCAAATAGTTCAGTCTATAAGACGACAAGAACAAACACTGACCTAATGAGGAGAGTTTATAGTAGCAAACACTGGGATTCAGCCTTGTGTTAGTCGTATACCTCACCTTGTGCAAACACGTCGCACGAAAAACCTAGTAGGAAACAAGGGGTAATCTAGGACCCCGGTTCATAGAGCGGTTTTTTGTATACATAATGTTTTTTGAAATACTAGAGCTACATATTTGAAATCGCCATCAAAATTTGAAAATCAATTTTGTGATTTCCATATAGAATTCCTAGATATAGAAATAGCATACTAGAATGATCAACACAATATCATCGGTAAGAAATTGTTCAAATACAGGGCTTGTACCGGGCACAGATCAGATTAGTCCCAAAAACCAGCTAATTGTAATAATTCTTTGAAGCGGGGGGAGGGGGGTCAACGTAGATCCCTTGTTTCCGATAATGTAATAATTTTAGTTTCTTGTCAACTGGTGAATATTGCCACCGTCTCACTGCCGTTCTAATTGTAGTATTAAACCTTAGGTAGAGTAGCTGACAATGTTTAAAATCCTCGCCAGACAATTATGAGCCAGTTAGAAACACCCTTTGTATTTGCACAAGGGTTAAAAGCGTCGAAGTATTGTCACATCATTTTCAGATCATGTAAGCAATATTTTGTGTTGTTTTTCATTTTTTCAGAATTTTGTCTATATTTCAAGCGGACGGGTAGCCCACTGGTTGACACTCAATACTCCTTAACTGTAGCATGTAAAAATGATGAACAGATTAAAGATACCAGGACTGTGACCGTGGATGTTACCCAAAATAATCCTCCAACTGTTAGCTCCAAATGTAAGTACAGGATTCTGTGTAAGATATCTGTCGAAAGACGTTTGTTAAGTATGCAAGTTAAATGCAACGATGATGTAGACCAATTGAGCGCGGACAATTTCCTTTCTAATTAACAGATTTTGACAACAGCCTAGCAGATTTTAAAATCTGCCCATACAAGACAGGCTTAACGTTGTTTTTAAAAGCTAATTCCGATAGCTCCATCCGATATTGTCTCCGCTTCTTTGACGGCAACGAATTTTGTCCTGGGCCCTGTTTCACAAAAACTTAAGGTAAAATCACTAAAATATTCTCGATTATCAAGTAACATGCTCAATGGCTATGGTAGTCTCGCTTGGCAGGCCTTTCATCACCAGTTACTGGTAGTGACATCAGCGACTAACAGTAAACGTTAGCTTGGTCCCCCATTTATTGATTCACTTTTAAATGGACGACTGTTTAAATCCAAACTGTATCCAAGCCATCCGTGGGTCTACAGAGTTGATTTTAAGCTTGTCATGTAAATAAAGGTCTACTTAATAATTTCTATAACATCTGAAGCCTAAATAAAGACTTGCAATATGTAGATTTAGCTCTTGCATAATGTATGTTTAATTATTTGAAAATATAATTTATACTTGAATCATATGTTAATATAATAGTAACAAAGAGTTTTGTTTACTGTTTTTTTTTTTCGTTTTTTTTTTCTTTTTTGTTTTTTTTCCTTCGGATTTTAATTTGGTGTGGGGCGTCATCTAATTGCTTAAATTGCAGCTATATTTCACATGCAATAATAAAAAGAAATTGAACGAGAATTGTTTTTGTGAATGATGATATGTTAAAATTATGACCCGGGCCATTGGCAATATTATCATTATTCCAAATCTATCTATATGTCGCAGTAGATCTAACAAGCAATGTTTGTTAATGTCGTGATTTTAAGTTAGGAGAGGGTGACGGCTATCTTAAGTTAAAACTGATTTTAGTTGAAATTGTTCCTAAAATAGTTTTGTGAACCACCACTATTTTTAGTTAAGATAAAACTTTAACTTAAAATATTATTTTAGTGGGTTTTATCCAAAATGCTTAAAATCATTTTGTGAAACACATCTATCTTAATTAAGGATGAAATTTTATTTAAGATGATTTTAAGGAGATTTAAGTTTTTGCGAAACGGGGTCCAAAACAAAATAGTGTCTACACTGAATAGGACTTGACTATCAGACTGATTGGATATTTTTTCTATTCCGCCGTTAATTTTAACTTTTTGTTTGGCTGTAATTGTTTATGATAGTTCTGACTGATGCGCATGGATTCGAATGTTAAACGAATTCTGGATGGTTATCACTAAAAGTCATTGACTTGTGTAAATGGAACCTCAAACTACTATAGTAATGTACGCATTCTTGTAGACAGTGGAACTGTTGATGTGCCTACATCAACACCAGGATCAACAATATATACTTTACTGGCTACAGATCAAGACGGCGATGCTCTAACTTATAGTCTTGTAAATTCGGTAGCTGGTTTCAGCATAGATTCCAGTAAGTATTTGTTATATCCCTAACTTGGTTCAATGTATATTATTACAGTGACTATTTTTGTGTATTATTTATTTGGCTGGTTTTAGCAAATTTTCCTGGCAGGACAATTCTAGCTAATAGTGATTATTTCTTATGTCCCGGCCTTTGGACTTTTCGTTTTGATTGCCAGCTAGGATCGATTGTATCAAGTGATGGGACTACGCATGTTTGTGGAGATCAAATTATATTATAATGCGGTCGCCTTCCACCGTCGTGGTTTTTCTTTCGTCGATCTCGGGCGTCCCACTAAATACACTTACCTAGTTACCTCTTTTTTTTATTAAACACCAGAAATAAACTATAGATCGAAATGAAATAGAATATTTGTTCAGACTGTATACTAATTTTTATTGTAGATAATGGTAACATCATAACATCCAACGATCTGAGATTATCAGATGATGAAACAGTTGTCATGGATATCAAAGTCTCTGATGGTAGCCCTGCTGCTGACGTCACTACAGAATTAACCCTTACAATGACAAGTAAGCTGTAATACAAATCTAAAAACTTTCATTCCCGCATTTTTTTCTACCCGGTACGGTCACACAGTGTGATATTACACTGTGACACCACAGTCATACAGGAACTATGTAAGAATCCAAGGACACGAATCAAATAAAAGACATGACACCATCCTGGACTTCGATATTTTGACTTCACTATGGGCTTCAATTCAGTTCAGTATATATTACTTGACTTCACGTTGTGCACTTTTAATATAATGAATGAAAATCTGGAACATCGTATTATTCCAGGTATTTGTTTATATAAGTAATACGGGAATCTACAACAAATATGATATTATATCAGTTATTATCCACGGTCCTTGAACTCAGACCTAACTCCTTCAACGATGACTGTTCTCTCGGAAAGATATCGCCGTTATGAGGAATCGGGAGCCCGGTTAGTTCTTCTAAACACTGACCTTATATTAAGATGGCGAGGCCCTTTGTTACTTGATTAGTTACTTGCAAAGACGTTACTCTGGATTCATATACAATACGGAAACAGCGTACCTATTATCCTAAGAATTAGCTGATTGCTCTATAGTGACTAATGATCATGGTGGGTGCTAAAACTGTGGATTGCTAGACAGATAACGTGGCCAAACCAGTTATTATCATATAGTGTAGCATAACAAATGGTACTTGTTTTTAATGTTCCAGATTTTAACAATAAACCCGTAATTACCAACATGCAGACTGTGAGCGTCCCAGAGAATACGCCAAGTGGTAGTGAGATTTTTAAATGCATAACACAGGATACGACAGTTTATGACGAATTGAGTTATTCAGCTGTTTTTACACCGGCTACGGCTACAACTATCTTAGATTTTGACACCTCTAGTAAGTGCATCTTAAATTGAATTACGTGGTAATGATCATAAACGTAATTAAGTATTGTCTTGTATTTTTTTTATATATAATTAATCCAGTTATTGATGTTGCGTACACTATTCGTCATTATTGAATTTGTGCATTCGCTATGACCACATTGCTAGGATGACAGATTTATTAGTCTTTGGGTTGGCGCATATTTATTCATTTCTGACATATTGGATTTGGAGATGCAACAATGAAGTATCCGAGCTTAGTACAAACCTCGTTGAAGACTTTTTTTTTGACACATCGTTGAGTTTTAGGGTATACCATTGATAAATTATATTTCCATTGGTACAGTTTAGAGTTTGTCGGTCAACCATTGATTAATTTTGATGGACATATTATGCTTTTACTATGAATAAACCGTAGATTATCCCAACTTTATGGATACACCACTGAATATTTATGGGTAAACGTTTGATTTATTCTGTGTGTGTACGCCATCTAGTAATTCTGAGTTTCAGGATGCACCATTAATGAATTCTCGGTTTGTGGGTGCGCGATTTATGAATTCGTAATTTGTTGGCACACCAGTATATAATTGTGAGAGGTGGGTACACCATTATATGATTGTGAGATATGGGTACACCATTTACGAATTTTTAGTTTAATAAGTGAGTTTTGATTAATGTTTAGTTTGTGGATAAAACAATGATTAATGTTGTGTTCATTTCACCATCTCTGTATTATTCTTTCAGCTTGTGCTTTTACGATCAAAGATGGACAGCAATTCGATTTTGAGAAAATATCCAGCTACTCTATTAAAATAACTGTTAATGATGGGTTTAAATCGGACGAATTCACCATTCCTATCAGTATTATTGACGAAAACGATCCACCCAAATTTACAAAAAGAACTTATTCCAAAAACGTAGAGGAGGGCGATGTAAGTCTGCTTTGCATTTCTATTGTATTTACACGCTCATTTAATAGACGAAGAGAAAAAGACAAAAAGCCTAGTTGTCCCAGTTAAGGCTCTGAATTACAGAATGATTCTGAAATAAAAGTGGTTACTGATCAATCTTACAATACTTTCAATTTCATTCCAGATTGGATCTATTACGTTCGATCCTGCTTTTGAAGCGTCAGATCCAGAAAATGATCAACTTTCTTATGAAATTGTCAACTCGTCAAAGCCCGGTATGTTTTCAGTTCAGAACCAATTAACTGGAGAGATATCCAATAATGTTGCTATTGATTATGAAACACTAACTGCAGTTGATGATAATCCTATTAAATTGATTATACGAGTGAGGGATGCAACTAGTGGTGAAGATACAGCGACAGTACTGGTTAGAATAACTGACAAAAATGACGAGACACCGGAATTTGCTTCATCTTCGAATTCCTTTAATATTTCAACGTAAGTATTATTTAAATCGTTTATCACCATCAAACATAAAATCAAATATCAGGGGCGTATCTTCTATTTAGCGCAATAAAATATCGGCGATCAGTCTGGACAAATCCCAGAGATGCTATAAGTGGTAATTTATACAAAGCGCGAATGCTAACGCGGCAATCGCATTTAATTTATTAACTACTTTTTGAATGTTTTTTACTAGCCAATCTGAGTGCGAGGTCAAAAAGCATATATGGTCAAATTGACAATGCTCCAGTTTCATCTGCAAATTCAGAGCGTATCGTCACTTTCAGTATGAACAATGTGTCGCTCGAAAAATCGCCTTCTCAGTGTGGTCGCATTTATGTCTGCGTTTGCGCTCAGTATAAATGGATCTTTACAGAACACGGCGGTTGCATATTTGATTGTCGCTCTATAACCGGGTCTCGAATCACGGCCTCTTCGATTTGATCCTTGTTTTCCAGTCCATTCAAATGTAATTGGGTACCGGTGGGATTTCGAAAGGTAAAATGTATGTGTAACACACAAATTGAATATCTGTGTTAAAGTTGAGAAATATATTTTCTTTTAGGTCAACAGCAGCAGGTTCCAAACTATTAACTGTTAAAGCAATTGATAAAGACTCACCACCAAATGCTATGATTACATATAGTTTAAAATCGGAGTCACCCGATGCAGCTGATCACTTTGATGTTTTAACTAATGGCGATGTGTTGTTAAAGAAAGCTGTTACTGCTCCATACAACGGTAATTTCAGGGCAGAAATATTGGCTACGGATCTAGGTGGTTTGAGTAGTACAATTACCATCGAAGGCGTATGGGTAAGAAACTATTTCGAAATTTTAGTCAACAATAATTGCTCTTGTTTAAATCTTTTAAGTTATGTTAAATTTCAGAAAATCGACCAAAATACGTTATATCCGTGTAATTATTCATAGGTTGATTTTATTGATTTATTCAATTTTACGCAACTGTACACGGGACGTGGGCGACTAGAGGATGTTCCTTGGCGTCGTTGCACCACTGACTTAAAGGGAAACTAGACTGACAATTCCCCAGGATATATTCACGCTAACACCCTGGGACCTTCCAACAAGTGAACCAGTACCTTTAATCATTTTTGCGAGAAGATACACTGGAAATGTTACATTTCTTTCCTTTCGTTCACAGAATAAAGCTCCTAAGATACTAGGTCTACCGGCTACAGCTGCCACTTCCAAAGATCAGACGACATCAAAGGATGTTTTTACCTTCAAAACTGAAGATGTGGAAAATGATGAAGTAACTTGTACCATACCAAGTGTTGTTCCAACGACACCTACTTTAGACCAAACTAAACTTACCAATGCATTTTCTGTCAGTGGGTCAGCTACCCCAGGAGGTAAATATGAAAGAAAACTACTACGGTATAAATGTCATTCTTGCCTCACGTGGCTAATTTAAGAGATTTCATTGACGAAAAAAAGTTCTAAAGTAGCCTACCAAAACATATTCACTCATGGACGCCATTCAGTTACTTGTATCAGTGTTGAATACATTGTGTATTAAATACATTGTGTATTATACATTGCCTAATGGTAAAATGCAAAATCACGAGAGAGAGAGAGAGAGAGAGAGAGAGAGAGAGAGAGAGAGAGATCTACCACCAACCAACTCGACCCCCAAACCTACTAAATGCTTAGTGTAAAGTAAATCATACTCAGTTTGGACTGAAGTGAGGTGGTTCGGACCTTATCACAACAATATCCGAACCTTGTAGGCATCGAGACCTAGAAAAGTGGGTTATTCATTTGTAACACTAATACAGGGTAGTTATTTTTCTTACAGAATTCAATGTAAGATATCGAGGATCATCCTTCTATGAATTAGATGGCGAGCACTTCGAAATAAATTTAGAATGTGCAGATGGTAATGGAGGTTCAGATACAGGTATACTTGAACTAGAAGTCGCACCAAATAAACAACCCACAGCTAAATGTAGTCCAACAGGTAGATATTAATTTTTTCTGGTACTTCACAATTCGTATAATTTCATAGTAGTGGTGGGTGTGGCTATACTTACCTTTTCTACAACACCCGATAATACATCGCGATTGGGAGTTTTGATTATATTGATAAACTTTCATTTAGGAAGTCCATAGTTGTCCCTTATTTGATAATATATGTAATTGATTTCGACCGAGGATCCCCACACGCCCTTGTTATACAGTGCGAGAAAGAGCCAGTACTTTATGATTGACCGCTCAAATAACATATTGGGGTTCGGAAACACCATTTTTTCTTTGTTTTTCCTCTTGCAATGACGATGGGAGAAAGCATATAACAGCATGTACTATCACTGTGTTATGTTTAGTGAGCTCCATTGTTAAAAATATAAAAAATGTATAAAATGTATGTATAAAACTATGAAGAGGTGGGCTATATACTCATATTGGCACAATCGAAATAACGGAGATATGAACTCTAGCCTGTTTTTAATAGTACCTGCTACAGACGCGTACACATTGGTTTGAACAATGGGCATGCGTAATCAGAAAAGTCTTACTGGTATAGTCCAAATAACGACGAGGCACTGGTATCTCACCCTTTATTTTAACAATATTAAGGTAACATAGACTCCGACCCGTTTTTAATATTATCTGCTATAGACGGGCCAAGATTGATTTGAAAAATACACACGTGTAATCATTGATACCTTGCTATTCGATTGGTCAGAAGAGGCCTACCCTGTTAGCTATTTTAGTTTCCTTACATGCAATGCCATTTTTTCTTCATATCATTTCAGCTTCAATCACAATCAGTGCATTAAACAATGCAATTGATGCCGTGGTCTATGACCTAGTTATTAATGACCCAGAAAATGACCCACTACAAATTACGTTTAGTTCATACCCTGAGAATGGTTTCTATCGCTTTGATTCAGGTATGTTTTCCAATCACGTGGTTCGTAAATAATTTTGAAAATATGCAGTGTTTAAAGGAGCTATATCGCTAATATTTGGGACCTAGAAATTGGCCCAAATGGGTCGCAACGCCTATAATAATGTAATCTGATTGTATATAAACTGATTTACATTCAATCGTTTCCGTTTTGACTCTAATTTCAAATCGCTTATCTCAACCGAATGGTAATTTCTAGCGTCTGGTTATTACAGTCTATTGCGCATGCTCTCCAGATAAGATATGGCGTCACCGTTTGACATGAGTTGTGGAATATGTCTAGCCTCGTTTTTTCTGGTCACTTGTTACAAATGAGGGCTGAAACGCGCTATGGTACACGATTCGTGTACCAATGGTAAAATGATTATTTTGTCTTAAATATTGGATATCCAATCTTTTCCCGGTAAGATCACAACATCAATGTTGATTTGAATTGACAGATAATTCGTGTTTTCAAAGTATAAGACTTTGGATGATATTGAGTAAGAGACTTAGCTACTTTAAATCAAAAACAATTAAACTAGAAATGTCAGACTTCGAAAACTGGATTGTTCATAAGGTGGGATCATAACAAAGAAACAGTTTGTCTAAAATAATTTCAATTATCAGCATCGTTAGATCCTTCCATATATTTTGTTGATTTCATTATGATCACTCCAACCTATATTGTCTTTTTATTTCTAACAGTGTAAATCAAATGGACACTGGAAATTTATTGGAGGTGTGGGTGGGTGCGCATACACATGGGCAATAACTTTTTATGTTCTTTGTATTACTAGATACGGGTACTGTTAAGGTTAAGAAAGATTTAAGACTAGAATCGACAGATTCTTACCAGTGGAATTTGACAATCTTTGATGGTAACCACAAAGTACTAGATGGTTCCAAAACAGTATTTGTTCCAGTGCAGTGTTATATAGATGTTACAGTTTCAGGTATGTTATCAGATGGCATGTCTACCTAATTAAGAAATTAAATGAAACGGTGTTTAATGTCCGACGTAATACAGCCACCAGGTTAATAAAGACGAGCATACACAATGCAGTGTGTATGGGGAAAATTGTCCTAGACAGCGGTGTTACCACATACATCTTCATTAAATGCAAACTGTCAATGGCACACGAGTGGACTTCGGTTTTTGTCCCATCCGAAAGATTAGACGCTTTTTCTTGTCAGGTCATCAGTTCTGAACCACTGACATGTGGACCAGACTGGAAAATCTCGAGGAACTTTCTTCGCAAAGCCCGGGATCGATGCCGGGGCCTTCTATGGATGAATCAGAAACAGCCACATTATGTCTTTGACTCTGGTGATGGCATAATTTAAATATGTTTATGGCTTTTTACACTAAAGAACTAACATATTCAGAGCACCTGCTATTTAGAGTTATAAACGAGACTAGTTGGTTTATGAATATATCAGAGGACGATGTAATTGGAAAAGCTGCGCTTTCATTGGCTGTTAGTGTTTACCGTACACACATAATGATAATAACTCGCCAGATTATAAAATACGGAATAGAAAACGAAAGAAAGAAAGAAAAGGAAAAAGGAATTGAAAAACATGTGATTTTAATTCGTAAATAGAAGCCGAAGGTTCCAGATCTGTAATGTTGGTTCATGCGAGACACCAAATATTTTAACAAGTAGTGTTGTTTTAATTTGATTTAAAAACCCAAACAAAGGTGTGTAACTAGGGGTCTGGTGATAATGATTACGTGGGTAGCAATACTTTTGCTGTCATTTTGAGCTAGAAATCAAAAATAAAAAATCCTTCGTAGACAAAAAAATTAATACTAACTTCATTTTAAAGTTAATAAAATCCAATGATTTTTTTCTATTGTTGGGGGCTGAGGGTCTTTCTGGTAATTGGCATTTTTGGGCAATAATGTCTCGGCCGAACTCAACCCCGGAGACTGGCTCGTTATTCGCGAATGACGAATAAGAAGTCAGCACGTTATTCTGGATTCGGCAATGAAACTTGTACCTGACCATTATCTCGCTACTTCCGATTGTATGGTTAAGTGCACGTGGGGTGGCCGACTAACAAAGAGTTTGGCGTATCCTGAATAACGTGCTGGGTCGTCATTGGTGAATCCCGAATAACGTGCCAAATCCACATTGCCTAAAGGAACACACAAAGCAACACACATTGGTAGAAAAATAATTCATTAATTTAAGGTATTTGTATTATAATCGTTTAATCAACAGATCTGAATGTGGCGCCAACTTTTGCCAAAGCAAATAACACGATCGCATTACCAGAAGATACAGAACCAGGAACAGTTCTACATACATTTGATGTAACTGATGGTGAAAATACAACTATCAAATGTGATATCACTCCACAAACAGAGGTTCCGCTATTTGAATTAGATAAAAAGCGTATGTATAATTACTTCTTAAAGACCCCTATCTTTGACTCATAAATAAAAATAACGTTTGAGTTCCTTAATATAGTATGTACTTTTTAAGAACCAAACACACCCAAAACATTCCTGTTGTGTTGCCAAAAGTAATCTAAGGGTCGAACTCCAGACTACAGTGTATATCATTTACTAGTAAAAGTACAACTGTGTATTGTGTTGTTTTGGCTCGGTCTGCCGATCTGATAATTAGCCCTACCAGTGGTCGATTGGCTGACTGAAGCTTGCGGGGGGTGGGGGGCAACCAACCATGGTGAATATACCTTAAACATGCTATCATGTGTTTACACAACCCTTCAGAAAATGTTCTACCTTCGTTCCAGAATAGTACTCAACACTAGCATTGATTTATGTATAGAATTTGTCCTTCAATTTCATCTAGTCGTGAGGTTGGGGGACTTGATAGGTGAGGTAGTCTTAGTCATCTGTAGCAACCTACAGTCCTCTCTTCATCTAAATCCGGCACTATACCCAATACAGTTCTCTTTGTCATCAAATTTGTATTTATATACAGAAAGCTATATCCTTCTAAAGAACTACTTTAACTAGGTACCTTTGTCTGTTTCAGTGAAGACTATAACGTTAGCTCCGGGTAAATCGTTTGACTTTGAAGGACCATACAAGTTATATAGTTTTATATGTGTGGCAACTGATGGTTATTTATCTGCTACTGGTAGTTTAACTATAAGTATAACAGATACCAATGATAAACCTTATTTCGTTAAACCACTTTATACTGTTACTGTTGATGAAGGACAGGTGAGTTGAAAGTCTAGATCTTATTATTCGACAATTCAGAGACTGCTCAGAAATACCACTTCTCATTTGAAGAGCTCAAATAACTATGTTTGCATGATTACAACTAAGGATGAATCTGGGATGTAAAAGTTATGATATTTTTATATTTGAAAACCAAAACTATTCGTTTTTAAATATGGGCCTAAAACCAATTTTAAGACATATAAATTTTGTATTCTATTTTGAGTTCACTGTTAAGACTTTCTGATTGAACATAGCAATACCAGTTATCATTTTTTTTATTTGAAAATCAAATATATTTATTTCTAAATTCGGCTCCTGTGTTTGTCGAAAACAAATTTTACGAAATATATGTTATTTTGTATTCCATTTTGGGCATGTAAGGTTAGACCTCCGAATAAGAATTACACATATAGTAGGACAAAACAAAAAGAAATAACGAAGAAGACTGAATATTATTAATTAATCCGTGTATATCTGTCTTTCATTAGGTCGGGGCTGTTAAGGCAAAACCAGATTTCCAATACGAAGACGAAGAAAAAGCCACACAGACTTATACTTACTCGCTAAACTATACTGAAGAAGATGCTTCATTCTTTGATATCAACCCAACAACTGGAGAAATCACTAACATTAAAGAAATTGATGTGGATGCAGCTGCTGCGAAGACTATGCTCAGTTTTACTGTGAAGATCACCGACAGTCTAGGTGGCTTTGGGACAACTCAGTTGGACATAAACCTTCGCGACATCAATGATTTTACTCCGGAACTTGATCCGACAGTTTATGAGTATGAATTATATGAACTTCTGACGGTTGGACAAACGATACCAGTCAAAGGCGGTGCAGCGGTGACAGCTACTGACAAGGACAAAGAAGACATCAATAAAAATATTGTCTACAGTCTTGATTCCGCTAATGAATATTTTGACATGTCACCAACTGGTGAACTTAGGTTATTAAAATCCTTAAACGGCCACTACAACACACAGTTTAATTTGAAGGTGAAGGCCACAGATACGGGAATTAACCCAGGACCTCTATCTAGTACTGCTCCTATTATATTTACATGGGTAAGTCAAAATATCTTAAGGTTTTTTGTATCCACATTAAATTTTATGCCAATTGCTTCTAATTTTAGAAAATAAATATGTATGAATATAGCCTACATTTCGTTAGTTTAGGGTGATCGTATATCATTATCGTGCCTTTTGGAGATAGGGGAGCCGCGGTGGCCCAATGAGTAAAGACGTTGGTTCCGTAACCTGGAGGTCCAGTATTCTATTCTGGTGTTGGCCGAGAATGTTCTTAGGGATTTTCCGAACACTTGATTCCACTCATTGTCTTTGAACATTCTCTTAATAAACCGTTTCTGTTATATTTTTACATGATATTCTCTGTGTTATGTTTATAGAATCAACCACTAGAACTAGCAGGTCTAGATGATGTGGGAAAGTGGAAAGAAGATGACGTTGTTGCGGGGAAGGTACCGAACTCTGACATTACACTTACAGATGCTGATACAGCAGATAAAGCATTACTGGAATGTGTTACTGATAACGTAAACCCAAACACCGAGGCTTTTGAAGTCAGAAAAGAAGCAGATGGTGGGTATTTAGATCTAAGCAAATGATTCCCATATGGTAAATTAAATAGTATGACAGATTGTCTTGACTGGCAACCAATTCTTTGACGACAAACGACAGGGGTAGATAAATATATTTACGAATGTGCGCTTTTTGAACGGATATTGGCTGTTTAATCATTCCATGGGTACCATCAGCGTATAAACCAATTGTTGACATGAATGTATTCGGGTTTAGTCTCCTGCTTTTCACCCCAAGTAACCTTCTCAATGACTATGGTACCAGTTTCCGGTATTGACGTCAGTGACTAACATTAAACGTTAGCTTGGTCGGCCATTGCTTGATTTAATTTTAAATCCAAGCTGTATCCAAGCCATCCGAGGGTATACAGAGTTGATTTTGAGCTTGTCGTGTAAATATAGGTCTAATTATTTTATAACATCTAAAGCCTAAATAAAGACTTGCAATAGGCAGCTTTAGTTCTTGCATAATGCATGTCTAAGTCTTTTATTACACTGTTATTTTCCTATTCCATTTTGAATTTTATTTTCGTATTCAACTTCACATTTTATTTTCAACTGTATAGCAAGCTACGCTGTATATTACAATGGTAGACAGAAGTTAGATTATCGTTCTATATCAAAGTATACTGTAACTGTTAGATGTATAGACAGATATGGCGGTGGGTCCGTTGTTAAAACTTTTAATATTGATGTTGAGAAGAACAAGGATCCTAAACCTTCTTGTCTGCCTTCGGGTAAGTTATAAGGGAGTGTGAGAGAGAGAGAGAGCGAAATGGGGTTTAACGTCCACTCGACACAACTAGGTCATTTCGGGACTAACATATGGTTTTAATTTTATTTCAATAATTCCCTTGCGCATAGGGGTCTTTAGCAGTGGGGGGAAACCGGAGGACCCGGAGAAAACCCACGAGGTTGGACAGGCGACCCTACTCCTCGTCACGTACAACCGGGGATTCGAAACCACGCCAGTCGACTCAATGACAGACTTTATGATAAAGCGCGCGCACGCTAACCATTCAACCATCCAACCCCCCTATAAGGGAGTGTGAGGAAGAAAGATTTGGAAAATGTACTGTTTAAACGGTAATTACTAATTGAATACAATGAAATAAGGACAGGTATTGAATGGAAAGCAGTTACCGTGTTTTAATCTGAGCTACCTTTCTACAACGATATTTGTTGTTGTCAAACATAATACTATTTTCTTTGTCAGTATTATACACGCCCACATTTCCATGTGGACTTGGGAGGTCGTCACCCATGTCCACACGGACGTCCGGGTGTCTGAGCTCTTAAAGAGCAATTCGAGATATTATGCATATAAGACCATGAAATTGAAGTCTACAACATGCGTATTTCAGCAACTCTATCAGCTGACGCTAAAGCACTAACAAAAGCTGGTGAAGTGATAAATACAATCACTGTTGACGATGAAGATTCTAGCTCTCATACTTTCAATTTACTGAGTAACCCTCCAAATGGTGCCGCTCCGGCTTTTCGAGTTGGTAGATGTAAGTACTGCTAATATATATATATATAAAACAAAGTGAAGATAAATCATTTTTTTAGCCATTTTAACTTATGAAATGAGAAAAAATTACTTGTCTCGTCCACGACACCTGTCAATTTATAGTTAACTAGAGACTTGGAAATGAAATGGATTTTAATATCTTTCATTTCATGCACCATCCGGACTAATGAAGACGGTCATACGCCATATCGCACTCATAGTGTGCCATCTTGATAAATGGTAACCCCCTGGGTTCATCCATGGGAGAGACATGTATTCAAATTATCTGCCCTGGAGACTTTTAACGTCCTACATTTCATTCCCTAACCGGGATAATGAAGACGGACATACAGTAGTGTGTCATCTTGATAAATAGTTTAATTTAGCAGTCACCAAGTAACGTAGTTTGAGTAGAACTGGGAGATTTATATTCTATCCTACCAATAACATCGATACCAATTCAGATTTAGGAGTAGCTTCAAAACTGTTAAACCAATAGACTGGCGACCTTTGATTGATCTCGGGATCACTTTCGGTTCCAGAATCCAGCCCAATATGATGTTGAATTTATCCTGTACTCTTATTACTACTTCTTGTTTGGGGAGTTCATATGGCTAACAAGCTTTTATAATGAGGAGTATTTCAGACCCGAAGTTGAGACGAATTTTCATTTACGCAATTTTGTTTACCTTTCAGTTGATGGTAAAATAACAACGACTATGAATTTGGGATTTGTTGATCGTGAACCCGTCAGAGAACTGCTTGTACAAGTCGCAGATAATCATCAAAATTCAGTCACTTGTACTATAGTGGTTAATATACAGAGTAAGTTTATAGGTTGTTCACGTGCTGTTAAAGGCGCAAAATCGCTATTCTTTGACACAAATGAGTAGCAACGCATTTAATGATTATGTATTATGAATTACATTCAGTCGTTTCTGTTTTTACTGTAATTTCTATTCTGTTATGTTCGGTGAAATTGAATGACAGTCTTTGGCGTCTGGTTGTTCCGGTCTACATCAGTAATATTCTAATGTGGTGTATGTTTAACCTAGTTCATCGAGACGCGTCATTACAAATGGCGCTTGAAACCATTCTGGCACGCGATGTGTCTCCCAATTTTAAAATTTTCATTTGATCTTAAATATTGGATATCAGAAGCCCATCTTTTGGCGGTAAGATAACAACATCAATTTTATTTAAATTGGTCAATAAATCTTGTTTGCAATGTGGGTGATATTGAGCCAAAGACTTGCCTCCTTTAAATCAAATTACACACTTTACTATCTAATTATGTTTTTAAACACAAATTACAAACACCATAGCTGAACATTCAACAAATAAAATTGACGTAAAAATACAACATCACCACTCCCACTATGCTTGAATATTCACCAGTCGTCTATTCCTAATTTATTGTGAAGAGTCCAAAATAAAGTATATTATCTCATGCTTCATTGATACATGTATTACATATGGCGTTCATTGTATTACTTGTTTTAATTAGATTATAACATTCTAGGGTTTTATTCTCCACAGATATGAATGAACCACCAAAGTTCGTTAATATACCAACTACTAAAGATATTGAAGAGACCGCAAAAATTGGTGACGAAATCTTGAAAGTGACACTCACTGATGAAGTATGTGGTGATGATCTTGATCTCACGTGGACCGTACAACCCTCTGGCAACCGCGATTTCTTTACTGTAGAAATTCCGGATACTGGAAAAGGTATGTGGATGACTTTATCACGCACTTATGCTGCACGTAAACCCTCGTCAAGTGGGCTATAAACAGCCAATAAAAACTCTGTGTTTCCATAATGCCGTTGTCGACAAACCTATTTATAAACTCATTGAAGTCGGGTACATAACACAACTGAAGTTAGCCGTCAAAAGGACGTTCTGAATAATGTGTTAGATCTTATGTATTGTAAAAAATCAAAACGAAACAAAATAAAAATGTAATATTTATTAGATCAGATACATACTGTCATTAATAATTTGGTTATGTTCAAAATGTTTCTGTTTACAGAAGCTACTGTGAAAGTGGCTAAAGAATTGGACCACGAAACAGAACCAACACAATATCGGATTACATTCAGAGCTAGAGATGGTTGTTTAGCTGAAAATTCTCAAGTTTTAACAGTGAATGTAAAAGATGTCAATGAACCACCCACATTTAGTAAAGGAGATAAATATTTTGCTAATATTTCAGAGGTAGGCTAACTATAATGACAATTAGATCATAGTAATTCCGGTTATTAACATGTTCGTCGGTGTTCTCTTGTTTTCAAGCTCATGAATACGAAACACCATGCTATAAAATCACCAACTTTATCCATTTAAATTGTAATCGCTAAATTTATATATTTATAAAGCTGAAAAGGCCAGTAACACGGGGTAAATACGGAAACATTATAGTTTTATAATGAAACGACCGTTAGATATGTATAGATCTGTCAGCCCTGTTTAAACAGACATTTAAATGACAATCGAAATCAAACCTAATTTGGTGCGTGGTTTTAAAACAATAAGTGCAAAAGCAGTCATTTTGAAATGAGTCAGGCAGAATGTGCTTTCAACGTCTCTGTCATGCCGTACGTAGGGCTATACTATATACCGGAAAACACCGAAAAACAACCGGAAAACTACCAGAAAACACCGGAAAACTTAACCTCTCCCCCAAATTCTTAAACCTAATCCACCGCTGGTCCTCTGGAAAACAACGTGAAAACCTAACCATAACCCAAACTCTCCGCAAACAGAGGACCAGGCTCCTGGTTACCTATTTAGGGTGTTTTCCGGTATTTAGTGTGTTTTCCGGTATTTAGTGTTTTTCCGGTGTTTCCGGTATTCAGTATAACATGGTGTTTTCCGGTAGTTTTCCGGTTGTTTTTCGATGTTTTCCGGTGTTTTCGGGTTTATAGTATTGCGTCGTACGAATTGGTAGATAGAGATAGATAGAAATGGGTTTTAACGTCCACTCGACACAAACTAGGTCATTTCGGGACTAACATATGGTTTCTAATTTTATTTACATAATTCGCTTGCGCGTAGGGGTCTTTAGCAGTGGGAGGAAACCGGAGGACCCGGAGAAAACCCACGAGGTTGGACAGGCGACCCTACTCCTTGCCACGTACAACCGGGGATTCGAAACCACGCCAGTCGACTCAATGGCAGACTTTATGATACAGCGCGCGCACGCTAACCATTCAGCCATCCAACCATCCAACCCCCCCCCCCCCCCGTACGAATTGAACCATATTGCCTAAGCTTAGACCTATTTTTTTAAATAAGTATTAAAATGGAGTATTTGTGGTTACAGGTTGAAACCGGTATAATAGATTTGGACTGCCGAGGTATTGATCCGGATGAGGGGGAAGAACTTACTCTAGAATTAAAAGGACCACAGGCTAAATATTTCAAAGTTATTGATGCGGCCAAGTGTCAGATACAGTTAGTCGGTGAATATCCTTTAGATAAGCCCGACAACGTCGACGGAAAGAATATTGAACTGGAGATGATCCTGAAAGATAAGGCTGGATCAGGTACGCCTCCAGATGATCCTACGTCAACTGCAACCGCAACCGCTACCATAAATATTTGGGATTACAACGACAACACTCCTCTCTTTGATCAGGCTGCTTACACAGGTACTGATATCGTAGCGGGAGATCCCGTCGGAAAGGTTCTCGGAACGGTGGCTGCTACAGATAAAGATTTTGAGGAAAAGACCAATGGGAGAATTGAATATTATTTACGAAGCTGCACAAATGGTGGCGATCCTTATATAGGAGTACTGGGTGATGGAACCATTGAATTAAAACAAGATTTGGCAACGAGCGGGATCCCTTACGGCACTATCTTCAGCTGCAGCGTAGAAGCTAGAGACAAGGGAATTTATCCTGGGACTTTATCTTCAACAGCTCGTTTTGACGTTGTTTATCAAGGTATGTTTCACTCTAAATGTAGGGGAACCATGCAATGAATATGCTGTGGTTATTCATAGAGAATTATTCTTGTTAATCCAAAAATAAGCACAGAAAATGATATACAGCACTAAATAAAATTTTAGGCGTACTTTAAACAAAACGATTATTTGAAAAATAGAAAGCCATTGTGGTGTGATTATAGGTAAATTCTCGATTGTCACAGGGAAGGCTCGTCTGCTTAGGCAAGTCGTTGGTGGACTGAACGGCCTTTTCTATGCCATGATACGATTGGTTAACAAGAATTGAATTACCGCGTAAACTAAAAGGCTAGATTAACAGGAGTCTCAAATGTTTGTATTTTTAAAAAGATGTGTGAGTACCAACCGCGACTGTTTAAAGAGAAAGTAGAGAAACTCCACCTCCATTGGATTGGACTGGCCTGTATACTACATGCAAAACGTATTCCCCAGCAGTGTTAAGTGAAGATGCAGTGGGGATACAGGTGCTCCCGCCCCTTCAAATAACTGGATAAAAATTCACTTATTATTTGTTACTTATCTTGTTTCTATGGTACTTGTAAATTATTTGGCTTCTATGATAAGTGTATATTTAATATTTTTCTTGGTTGGGATGAAATCGAATGTAAAATTTGGCCCGATATGCCTAACAAATCTCCATTGTCATCCCGATCCCTCAAAATTTTTTTAAAATATCCTGTGTCCGCCACTGTGTAGAATTATCTGATGAAACACCTTGAGGAGTAAGTGAAATTTTTACTTCTCAGTCCTTTTAAAAGCTAATTCAAGGACTAGTCTATTTCTTTATTTTCAGTAGCATGTCCGGTCTTGAACACTGTAAAATATCATATCTGATTACATGTACTATACATCCAATCAATAATCTTGCTGTTGGAAACGGTAGCACGATTCTGTGCTGCCAATTTTATGACGTCTCGGACAGGTATTGTGATATTATCTTTATTTTCAGAACCACCTGAAGTTGTGAACACTATTATAGTCCCCGTTACTCAAGATCCTGGAACAGATACTGGAGCAGGCGCCGGAGCAGGAGCAGGCGCCGGAGCAGGAGCAGGCGCAAGTGCGAGTGCTTCGTCGAGTTCAGAAGATTTCCTGAATTCGCCAGCAGCTATAGCTGTACTAAGTGTACTTGGAGTAGCATTGTTTGCCCTTCTGTTGGCCCTTTTGTTGTTCCTGTGCTGTCGGTTCTGTTTGGGGAACTGTGGAGGCGGTGGATCAGGCACGTGCTGCAACAATGGAAGTGATATTGCCGGAGGAGATTACTACTCGTACGTATTAAATTAAAGTCATGTATAATATTAAAATATTGAAAACCGAATCTGGTTCATGGTTTACTTATGAGGTATCATAGTTTGTAACCCTGTGATGAATTCAACTCCAGGATTGTGTGGGAATTCTTCTGTTAGATCTAATGAGCCCAGCTCTAGAATGTGAAAATATATTAATAAAAAAAAAAGATATGCCTCAACCATTTACCAGTTATGCACCCCATCCCCCATGGACCAATGTGTGCTCCTAGCTGATCTATGCCAATATCCTGAACATACTCGAAATGGCGTCAACTCGAAAAGCTACAACGCCCACTCCATCCCCTTTACTCCGTACTGGAAAAGTCTGGCGCCGCAAATGAACATGTCACATGTTAGTCCCAGAATGTCCACGGTGTGTTGACTCGACATTAAAGTCTAAGCCTTCCCGTCTCACCCCGGGATTCCTCATTAGATTTAGAACTAATGCATTGAATGATATTTTGTATTTTTCAGATCACGACCAGGTAGTACCGTATCTACAAGTCATATTAAAGTTAACGAGGGTATGTTATGTCATGTAGTTAGTGTGTAAGGGTAGGAGACTGGACTAGGGTTGGAGGTGTACTCACTGAATACAAACTAGTTACTTTGCGACAATTTGCAGATGCGTTGTAATTTCTGTGACTTTTCAAAGACTTGCTCTCTTAATAGAAATTTAATTTCACGATCGAACCATTCTAGCAAAGCGGGAGAGCATTGGTGGTGGTGGTGGTGGGTGGGGAAGGGCGTTATTTCAACAATATAAACCTATGTATAATTTGATGATTATAATATTCATAATAATAAAAATAATAATTTTATTCTATTTTGCAGGTAGTGGAGGTTACAACAGTGTTCGACCCTCACCGGTCATGCATCCTTAAAACCACAGACAATATCAGCATTTATAATACAATAGTGTGTATTCAGAGACTAGCTGATTACCATAATATATACCATGGCGATTCTACGTTAAAGACATTACTCTCTACACAACTAAAGTATAGAATAGCACCATATTGTGAAAACTAACAATTTGTGATTAATACGATTACGACAAAATAATCCACGCAAAAAACAACAAAAAACTTCGCAAACCCGGTGTTTTGACTCAGTTCTATGTTTGGTTTGGTAACTTACATTTTGATACGCCCACGTATATTGTCGTTCCCCCTGTCCGTCTGCCGTTCACATTTTGTTTGTGGGTTCTCTATAGGTCACAATTTTTATCCGATTTTGAAGACACTTTAAATATAGGTTTATATTTCAAAGATCTTGGATCCTTTCGACATTAACATGTATCGGACTTCATGGATTACGGCCCCTGATAGTTCGAAAAATCACATTGTTATCCGTTGAAACTTAACATATACAATGTATGTTCGTTACCCAAATACCTCGGTTCTTTTCGATATTCGCGAATATCGGATCGTAACTTCGTTGATTATGGCCCCTGATTGTACGAAAAATCGCGTTCTCAGCTTATGGACCATCTAGAGGTCACAATTTTTATCCGATTTTATCCGACAAAATAGCCACGCTGGGGTTCCTTTCGATACTTGCGCGAATAGGACCGTATCTTCCTGTGGAAGGGGGAGTAGCTTATTCTCTGTCCAACTCTTGAAAAATGTGGACGGATCTTGCATTGCAACCGCTTGTTGGTTACAAATATTGACTCTAACCTTGAACTTAACCTTGACATTTTTTTTTTCAAATAAATAGCTAACATGTACAAACACAATACGAAATTAAATTTTTATAAAACAAAGAATATACTGGGGTTGTTAAAAATCACTGAATTACACAGCAACAGTGAAAATAATGGGATGAATCAATTTTAGTCTGTATAAAATGTAAAAATAGCTATTACAGTTTCTATCGCCATTTAAAATAAACATATTATTAACTCATAGGGAGGTCGGTAAATCTTTTATTGATCACCTTGTGATGATAATTTCTAATAAGTATTTTGTTTCTCATTGGATGAAGTATTTAGTGTTAAAATTGGATTAGTTCTTTAGCTTTTTAGTTTATTAATTTGAGGCGTCGAATGTGTGATACCAAAATTGACAAATTCTATCAAAATTTATTAATGATATTAAGTATTATATAATTATTTTATATTAATCGGATTGTGCTATTGAAATTTTTAATTTAGTTTATAAGTGTGTATAAAGAAATTGTAAATGTTTAAGATCTTTGTTTTCTAAAAAAAAATATTTTAAAGCTTTTGTATTGTTAATTATTATTATTCTTTCTTTAATAATATAAATTCTTCATTAATTTTCTGTGGTAGTTATTCCATGAATGCCAAATTTGTACAAAAATTATAATTATTACAACATTATTCTGTACATCTCAGAGACTAATTTTTTATAATTAATGTATGTGATGAGCTGTTCCATGATTGCCAAATTTTCGTATTCCTTTGTTAATAACTTATTTAGAAATAAAATTTGGTTACACTGATGCAAAAGGTGAACACATCGAATAAAAAGATTTTTGGGTATAATTTCAAATTAATGACAACCAGTTGTCCGTGTAAAGGAGTTACTTTCTCCAAAATTCCTTGGTATAAAATTTATAATATGACTATTTTGAGACTGCACGCTTTTAACTGTCAATTATAAGATTATATCGAAATGAAATGAAATGAAATGGGGTCTAACGTGGTACTGTACTAATGAAGACGGACACACGCCATACAGTGTGCTATGAGAGAAATTTTGCCTGGACAGCGGCACTACAGCCTACTCTTGTATCGAATTCCAACTGTCACGACACTAAAACAGACCGACCTACCATGGATCAGACCATTTTCTCGCGAACTCCGACCGTTGGGGTAGTGAACGTTGGGTGGCCGACTAGCAAGTAGACGACCGATTTTCAAGTGAGTGGGATGTTAAATTGGCTGGATAATGCTAGTGTTGAACAACTTCTTAAACTATGTAGTGAAACCAATCTTGGCAGCCAATTATGGATACAACTTTGGACTCCAGATCCAAGTGACACAACTTACCCCTCTTTCCCCTAGTCCTCCCCTGCATAAAGCCGATAAAAATTCGTTAAAAATCTATCAACAACATCTTCCCTGCAGAGCGCTAAAAGAATTGGAAGAGGTTAACCGACTAAAAAAGGGGCACATATATGATTGCTATATTTAAACATACATTATGCAAGAGCTAAATCTGTCCATTGCAGGTCTTTCTTCAGGCCTGAAATGTTATATAAACTATTAATAAGACATTTATTAACAAAACAAGCGATGCTAAGTCTCGAATATACCAGTGCCCTGGTTACCACTATACACACATCTTGTCAAAACTACAAACAGTGACAACTTGGCCCAGAATGAAGTAATTTGAATGAAATTTCCAATATTTTCATTTTACATTATCTATTTTTGAGCTATTAAAGCAAGGGTGGCCAGCTCTTTATCTAAATCTTACATAACGTATCTTTAATACTATGTATGGCATGTTTTATTATAAACTGTGCCAGTGGGTATTTTAAAAAAAAAAGTCATTTGTTTTTTTTTTAATAAACTGTGCCAGTGGGTATTTTAAAAAAAAAAAGTCATGTGGGGTTTTTTTTTAGAAAAAGGGAAAGAGATTTTCGATATGTTTCTTATATTCAAAATCAGCATATACTGAACATATACCATGTTTATTGATGTATTTTTTTTTATAAAAATAAATTACAAATACTAAAGCAGTGGACACATTAGCCGAATCGTTCGGCCGAATCAATCGGCGCCGAATTTTATTCGGCCGAATGGGTGGACACACTAGCCGAATGCTTCGACCGATTCAACCTGTCGATTGCATCACCTTTCACGTCACATGATTAAACATGGCGGCGTCTATGTCTTCAAACTATCACGTGACTTCTCGATATGAGTGGTGATTGGCTAATGAATTCTATATTCGGCCGAATGCTTCGGCGAAGCGGACACACCAGGCGAATATAATTCGGCCGAATATATCAAATTCGGCCGAATGACAGTGGACACACTAGGCGAATTTCGACGCCGAACGATTCGGCAGAATCATTCGGCTAGTGTGTCCACCGCTTTAAATGAATTAAATCATTTAAGACAGATATTTTTCACACCACTTTTCCCTAGATTTTAGAATATTTTATAATAACATTTGTTTTTTAAAATATTAATTTGTTCTGGCATCATTATAATGGTTAGGGTGGCATCTTAAAAACAGACTTAAAAATATATTAATGAGAAACATAAAAGACCTGAAAATTAATTTGTTCAAACCCCAGTGAAAATTTTCACATTAATCAAGATGTCTTGTTAACTTTGTATTTTTATGTCACATAGAAATAAATTTCCATGCTTATAGTTTGCTAACGTTTTATCCAATACGTGTCTACTCCGTTTTATTTTAACATTTCGTTTCGGCTTCATATTATATTGTCAACGATTTGTTTGACATTGTTTGAGTATGAATAGCTTGGACGTCCACAAATGAAGCGAACCTTTCCCTTCCTTGGCCCTGTTTAATCGTAAACGTCTTTGTGTGTAATTAAACGATTAAAATACTATTACTTTTACCACAATAGATATCATTTATAATTGACAATACATAGTTTAAAGGGAATTTCTAAATTTCACAGTGTATCCGTTGATAAAACGTACAAAATACCGATATTAACTTGTCTGAATATTTCGGTAATTCGAAAGTTAATCGCTAGATTTGTTTAAAGGGGTTACCTAAGGAATTCTGCTGTTGAATTGGTAATTGAGGATAGCGTAGAAATTGGGAACACTGAAAAGGTGCTAACACGGGGCTTCTTATACGTAATTGCACAGCGCTACTTTAATTCTCTTTTGTAAGCAACCATATCCTGTTTGACATATGTAATGCATTGATATTGTAAATTAATAGATAGCTAAGGTGCGTCAATTAATTGAATACTGGTATATCTTAACCCTTATTAAATATATATTTTGAATAATTTTTAGAAGACGTTAAAGTCACGGATCTGGATAGTTGGGACTACTATTTGTGTTAATTTAGTATTTCCAGTTACTAGATTGATTGTATCGTAGTTTCATGCGATGTTTATCGGGCACGAGAGATGAACTTCTCATATTAGGAAAACAGAACATTCTGACGAAGGTTTTTATGTGAAACTATGGATATTAAAATGAGAACAGTACTTTTCTGCATAAGTCTCTGTGTAATCTTTGAACATGGACAGGTAATGACAGTGTTTATTATTTAACATAAAGTTCATGACACATTGAAATAGATTCGTAAATATGTGTCTCATTAAACATAAAGATACGTTATATAAGATTAATATTGTCGATTATTAAGTACCATGCCAATGATAATATTCTCGAATTTTAATTTTAACGTTAAATAGTATATGGAACGGGCGATCTGATCCATTCAATCTCTACACAGGGGGTCATGTGAATAAATGTTTAAGCAATAATTTAAATTACATTAGAAGGCAGATA